GCTATGGACCGGAAACCGGACTTGATCCAATCGACGTTATTTTTGGCCCGAAGGTCGCGTGTTTCTCTGGAGCAAGCGTGTGATACGTGCCAGCTGAGCTGAGACACCGACTCAGCTAAACACGACCACAACACGACTGACCGTGAACATGCGCTATGCAATATACCTGGTGTGTCGTGTACGCCACGTCAAACCTACGGACTAAGCGAATTTCAATTCGCCTTATTGGAAGTTTTTTTTTTTTTATCGTAAGATTTAACAAGGGCTAATGACCTGCTGCAGAAAGGGAACAAGTGTTTTTGATCAACGTCAATGATGAAACAGAGACATTTGCCAAAGATTTCGAAAAATCTACATTGACCAAAGATTTGAACGAGAGGGAAAGCGGCCAGTGCCGCCCTATTGTTTTGCCGTGGGGGTCATAAACTGTCAAAACCGTGTGCCAGTTGACTCCCCAGAGCAAGAGTGATTAAGGGGACTGGTATTAGTAGAAGGGGGTGTAGTGGGCAGGTTGTAACCTGGGTTGCAGCGGAGACCGGGTACATCTCCTTAACTGGGCTACCCTAATAACAATTGAAAATATCGATTCGATTAGTAAACCTGCACTCAATTTTTTGATAACCAGCAAGTTTGGTTAGGTTAGGTTATAACAGTTTCATTTAATCCCTCAAACGAGTTTTGCTCACTCTCCCCCCCCCCTGGTCGATCTTTCCACCCCCATACCCGCCGCACCGTGGGACTGGTCACTGATACCTGGCTGGCACTCAGACCGCCAAGCCTCAAGCTGTAAAATGACCCTCGTCAAAGTTATTAGGCAAATGGCACTAGGGCCTGCACTCGAACTAGAGTTTTTGGCCTCTGGGGACATCAAAATTGAAAAGTTAATCGGTAGGGGGTCAAGGTAGTATACAGCTACTTACCTATAGGGGAAATTCGCTATCTTAAATGGTAGGTTTTATAAAGTAAACTTCTGTAGTTCTGTACATATAAAATTGAACATTAAACACCAAGCCATTAAAAGGAGACCCTGGCGTTTGTGTGATACCTTTGATCAAGGCCCTATATAATTTGGAAGTGTTCGGTGATAAAAAAAGAAACATAGGGTATTACTACTTATTTCTAAGAGGAAAAGTGTCAAAAACTGGAAACATTTCTAAATAAACACTACCTACACGCAGCTCGGCAAGGCTCCAAATCATCGAAAACATTTAAGTGGCGCGCATCCAATATTATAAGCAGTTAAAAATATTCTCGAGAACCGTAGCAAAACACGGAACAAAGTATCCCGCAACAGAAATGTGATATGGTTTTCAATTTTTTCCAAAAATTCTTCCAAAGAGTAAAACTTTAAAGCAATTATTTATTGTTTAGTTGTAAAAATATTACGTATAAAGTGGTTGGTACCCGTGCTGTCGCTAAAGAAAAAATTATAACAAGGAAATAAACCGAAAAAAAACCTAGGTACATCTAGGCTATCTTGTACTTTTTACACTGACCTAGTGGACTTGTCAACTCCAGGTGATCTGCGCACGACGGTGGATGCCGTGCAGAATAATACAACAACACACAAGCACCACGAAACAACATATAGCGTACACGTCGTTGTCTTCTATCACACCGAACACTGAGTCATACATCGCTACACTAATACACTAATACACTAGTGTTCAACACATCGCGAACTGTGGCCTACTGGCGTGGTCACTGGTCAGTCCACGAAACCTACTGCGGTGGACAATAAAGAAATTAGTAGATTAAATCGTTACAGTAAATGTATGCATAAACAAAATAACTGTAAACCCTTTAAACTGACATATTTACACCAATGAACGTAATAACAATCTAAAATCCCACACCGTATGGAAAAAAACATACAACACCAACCCGAGAACTACTCGAACTACACACTAGGGAGATGACCCAACACTATTTAACCACAAAAAAAACACACAATTTCCAAATTCAACGCCACAAACGGTGAAACATGACCTGAGACCGGCAATAAACTGATATCGCTACTACAACTGCTGTGTTGACGTCTGTAGGTGGGGCCAGCGACGATGCCAGGCTACCCGTGTATATTCTGGGCCATCCGACCACCGCTACCACGACCACGACCACGGACCAACCACTTATGCAACGGTCAATCATACAGCGGCCAATCCACTCGCATTCTTGGCCGCTAGATTTATAAGCGAGAACAATGCGAGGTATTTTCAGACCGCGAGTGAAAGATTAATCGCCCCGGTTGAAAGGGGTTGGCAGCGGATAAACGATGTGATCATAAATTTTAAATTGATCATTGGGTAATGGGTTTCCTCAAAATGGGAAATGAGAGTTATAGCATAAATAGTCGATGGAAATAGCCTATTTATTGCATTTTCGGGCTGAGCCATAGCAGCGGCCACAGAATTAAATGTCGCTGAGCCATAGCCATAGTATACAGGGTGGTAATAAAGTCCGAAGACAATTAAATATTTTTTAACCGACAACAGATTAATCAATAAGATTTGGTACATCAACACCACACCTAAAAACCTTTTTTTTTTAGGAAATGTCAATTTTTCTGTCATATCATGGGGACGTCCCGCCAGGAGTCAGAAGGAAATATTAAATAGAGCATAGGTTGACATGTACATTAAATTAAAGGTCTTTACTAGCAGAATATATTACCGCAAATTTGAACTCAAACGGACAACCGAGCCAAGAATGACAGTTGTTCAAAGATTCATTTAATATGCATTGCTATTATACGCTTACAGACCTAGGAATCGGATGAAAATTGTTAACGTAAGCATAGGTCGATATGCACATCAAAAGCTCAAAAGAACGCCTGAGTAAAAAATGGCAGTCGTTCAAAGATTCAAAATGGCAGATTCAAGAAATCTTTGAACGGCTGCCATTTTGAGCAGGATCAACCTTTTGAAGTGCGGTTTGCGGCATTGTATTCTACCAAAAAAGACCTTTCATTTGATGTGCATATTGACCTATGCTTCCAGTTAAGATTTTCTTCCGACTCCTTGTGCCCTTGGCCGTCCCCCTGAAGAGTTATTGGATCACTGAATTTGTGTTAAAATAAAGTTTTATGCTCTGTAACTTTGTTCCAAGTATTGTAGCTCTATCTACATTATTTTTTTAAAATATTTAACTGTCTTCGGACTTTATTACCACCCTGTATACTAGAGACATATATGGCTGAGCGCACTCGAATTTCGTAATAACATCCGCAGCAAACAAAATTGTACAAGTAACTTACCTTGGTTAGCAAAACCACGAGCGAGAATTTGAAAATAAACCCGATATTATCAGTATATTAACATGACCATAAGCGGATTCGTGCAATTTTCTACGTTTGATGCAGCCTGCACAAAATACCTCTGACCAAGAAAAAATCAAAAGCAAACCCTGAGTACACAACTGGCACGACAATAAAACCAAATGATAAGAAATCAAAATCTAATAATCTCACTATAAATTAAACCACAGACAATAGACCACCCTTGTTTAATGGCATATTCTCTGTGATTAAACTCAGGTCTAAAATAGACAAAAATGTTGAATAAAACCCTCCAGCAAAACCCAAGACCTTTACCTTTAAGGTTTAACAACTCTTTAAATTTACACAGAGAAATTCACCCCTAAATCATAGTTTTACTTTGCTAAACAGATATATACTAAAAGTATCGCTAACGAAATGGTTACTGTCTTGTACCTCTTAATGAACATGATTTGTAGGGACACGTTAACATTCCCGGCTATCTCCGAGAGTTCGATATTAAATGGCCTAAACCCAGACATATTTTTGCGCAACTGCAAAGATAATTTCCATCTTATTGTTTCAAGTTATGACTCGCAACCGAGTAAGCTGCTATCATTGTCGTCAATCAGCCAGGAAATTACCGTTCCGAACCATTAGTCGTGCACATTTGCAACTCTGACGCTGACAAAGACAGCTGATAATTGTTAAAGGATGACACAACGAGCAGTTTAGATTAACCAAACCCGTTTCGTACCTAGAGCCGAAAATGAGGTTCTGTCGGCTCGAGATAGGTTTTCAAGTTCAAGACGAAATCAATAAGATATTAAATTAATTTGTAAATAAATGTGTATATAAAATAGCCCAAATAGTAATGTATACATTTATTTAGTCTCCCAACCAACTCGCATGTTCTTTTCCAATAGTTTCCATCAGTACGCTACCATTTATTTTACAATAAGCTTAAACACATTCCACAGTATGTTTGCGTATTACCGTCGACCACACACACACATGAAAGCCCAAAGGGGTATTTAATTTTCACACGTCGCTTTCTAACATCGCATCGCGCCGGTTATGTAAGTTGCCGAGTATCCCTATATGGCGGATATCACTTGCCATATACAGAAGAAACAAGCCACCACCGGTTCATACCAACTGCATTTTAATCGAATTCTGAACATAACTACAGTAAGTCGAAACGCCACGCCAAAAGTAATCTCAATAGTAGTTTAGGCAACGATCGCATAAAGATAGTGTTAACGCCTTGGCGAGTGCCTTAAAAACTTATACGATTGTCGTCAACACTATTTACGCGAGTTGCGTACACTACTTTACCTACGACCGGTATTTAATTACTTATAGTCACTACTCAAAACTTCTAATAGAGGTTATGTTTTCGTTTATAACCTCTCATTGCCACTGACAGTGATGCAATGACTCGTTGTACCAATCACTAATTGCACCAATCGTTAACAATTAAATTGGTAAACAGCTGATTAGTTGAAATGGAAGGTATTACAATTTTACTTCTTCTCTCTTAATCCTTGAATCTCATTGGTCCGTTACTCGTGTTGTTAAGTAAAACTATATTGTTAATGTAAGTAAACAATGCTGATATGTGCAACTTTTCAATTCTAAGGACTGAACTGAAACGGCTACTTTAAAAAAAACGGTCGTAGGTAATATATTTTTTTAATTGGCAAATGTTAAAGTAAACCTATTATAAAAATGAGAATCCTACCTGTCACTTGTAGTTGACAGACTTCAAAACTATGATAGGCTCATCCAGGGGCCACCTGTAAAAAGAAAAATGTTCATCAAACATGAATAAGGGAAACAATATTGGAAATTGGTTATATTATTTATATCGAAAATGTGGAAATCGTAAATGTTCAAAAGATAAAGACTTTAAACAAAGTAGCTTGAATATATTTATGTGAAGAAACAACGTGCAGTCAATTAGCATGCCTGGTAGCGATAAGCAACCGTTAAAAAGGCTTGGTTGTTAACGTTGTAAGATAACGAAAAAGTAAACAATGGTAGTTTGGTATAAAAACATTACTTGTTTTCAATGTATAAGTTACTACCAAAACCCGCAAACCGCTTGATTCACTTGTCAATACAGTAGGTAGTATTTCTTTCAAAGAATGATTAACTATTAAAAAAGGCGAGAAAAATCTATTAATATTGCAGAAATACCCCATTGCATGAGAATAGTTTGTGACAGTTAACACATTTATCATAATCCTAACAAATCCTATTTGACAGGAGAATTGCAAAAAACACAGAATGAGTATAGGGGCCCATTTAATGTAACCTTTTTATACTGTGGTGCAATAACCTAAACTAAAAGGCACAGAATGAACTATGATATTTCTAAACTAAAAGTGACTATCCCTGTTTCATAGAGGGAAAGCATGGTTTGAAACATAATATTTACAAAGGTAAATCTCTAAATCTTTTCCAAATACTGTAGTAAAATTATCTTCGTTAAAAAGGAACCTGGAATGTTTGTATGGCGATTAAATGATTTTGTACGTTTCGTGATACACAATTAACATGAACCGTTTCATTATTTTTACATGCATCATTTAAATAATTAACGTTTACAGATAACCTTAAAAAATGCCATCAACAAGTTCACAGATGAAATTCAGGCAACTCACATTCAAAACCAAAGTAAACACCACAACAGGTCTAAAAACAACCTCCTCACGCCCAATTTTCCCCTACGAACAAACATGAAAGTGGAAGAACCCCACAAACCATTGAATGATTAGAGGGGTGTGGAGAAGTGTATAGCGAAGTAAGGGCGTTGATAAGGCGAGCCTCGGGACATAACGGAATGATTACAGCTAGATGGCACCATCTACTGGGCTGAGGGCGCCAGATCAATATACTGTGTACAGTGTACAGGCTATAGGCTGACTCATGCGTAGCTGGGGCGAGTGGCGAGTCTTGTACAAGGGGTGTGGAGCAGTGTATAGTGAAGTAAAGGCAGTAAGGGCGTTGATAAGGCGAGCCTCGGGACATAACGGAATGATTACAGCTAGACGGCACCATCTACTGGGCTGAGGGCGCCAGATCAATATACTGTGTACAGTGTACAGACTATAGGCTGACTCATGCGTAGCTGGGGCGAGTGGCGAGTCTTGTACAAGGGGTGTGGAGCAGTGTATAGTGAAGTAAATGCAGTAAGGTCGTTGATAAGGCGAGCCTCGGGACATAACGGAATGATTACAGCTAGACGGCACCATCTACTGGGCTGAGGGCGCCAGATCAATATACTGTGTACAGTGTGCAGGCTATAGGCTGACTCATGCGGTGCTGGGGCGAGTCTTGTACAAGGGGTGTGGAGCAGTGTATAGTGAAGTAAATGCAGTAAGGTCGTTGATAAGGCGAGCCTCGGGACATAACGGAATGATTACAGCTAGACGGCACCATCTACTGGGCTGAGGGCGCCAGATCAACATACTGTGTACAGTGTACAGGCTATAGGCTGACTCATGCGTAGCTGGGGCGAGTGGCGAGTCTTGTACAAGGGGTGTGGAGCAGTGTATAGTGAAGTAAAGGCAGTAAGGGCGTTGATAAGGCGAGCCTCGGGACATAACGGAATGATTACAGCTAGACGGCACCATCTACTGGGCTGAGGGCGCCAGATCAATATACTGTGTACAGTGTACAGGCTATAGGGCTGACTCATGCTGTGCTGGCTGGGGCGAGTCGTCTTGAACCATACATCTTGGTATTGAACAAGATGTGGAAAATCCAGCGAAATTCAGTATTACATACCATTCCTGTAGTTCGATGTAATTCCATTTAATTTCAGTCCATAATTGTGATTCATACATCTCGAGACAATATTCTCCAAATAAAAAAAAAAAAAACTGTATCAGTAATTTGACAAATACTCTACTTCCTCCCGTAAACTAATCAAAAACTTGTAATAATTGTAGGTAAGCAGGCGGTGGGAGAAACTACATGATATTTTATGGGTAAAATCGCAAAAGTTGCAATAAATTTGGAACCGTAATTTTTTACAGCATTGACAGTTGTACCATTATATTTTGATTACTACCACATAGTACCCACATACCGAATTTCACCTAGATCGGGCCACAGGTGTAGTCTTTAGCTCTGTACACTCCTCGCCCTCACACACACGTACACACACGAAAACCACTTTTTGAGTTAAGGGTGATTCAAACCGAATATTTCCACGCATACCTAATACTTAAATACTTTATTATGAAGGTAAATTTTGAAAGATTGAAGAAAGTAGTTTGGTAATTGGTTTTGCTATTATTCTATGCAAATATAAATCGTGTGGAATATTCCATTTTAGTCAACAGATCGTGTCAAATGTGCTTGTGGCGATTTGCATAATAATGTATTTTATGGCACCATTTGGCATTAAAGAAACCGCAGTGCCGGTTCAAATCAAATTAGAATAAAGTCCTCAGTTCATAGCCGCATCTTTTAAATTGAAAACTGTCCATTCATTTTTATAACTCGGCATTAATGAACGATTAATTCCAAACTAGTGGTATTTAGGTGTTGGCTCAAACTAAAGACACACAGTGATTTCTGTGGAATCGATAATCGTCCATCCCGGCAATCAGATAGGAGTTCTTGTTCCCGAAAATGCAGTGTGTTTGAAGGAGGGGTGTTATCTCAAACTATAACTCAATAACTCAATAACTCATTTATTTAGCAAGATTAACATTACAAATGCATTAGCCAAGTCAAATTTACTAAAAATAACTATTAACTAACTTTTAAAATAATTAAAATTAAAATTCATTAGGACTGTCCGTCAGCGAGAAAGGCGCGGACACTGTAGTAGCCTTTACCCACGAGAAATGACCTCAAGTGCCTTTTGAAGCATCCCGGATCTGATGTGGACTTGATTTGAAGTGGGAGAGCATTGAACAGTTTGATGGCATTATAGTTTAGATGTCTTTCAAAGAATGTGGTTGAATGGGCTGGAATTCTCAGATTGAAAGTATTGCGAAGCAGATACGAGTGGGTGGACTACAAACTACAACTATAACTACAAAAATATTTCCTATAAAATTAACAATTGTTATCCCGGATGTTTAACTTTACGAATGTTTTCATCTCGAATCAAAGAGTTAGAGGGGCCCAATGATAGTTTAATTAAACTTCGGTACTTTTGTCGTTTAATTCGTAATGAGGGATTTCTAGGGGGGAAATAGGATGTTTGATCATAAAGATTTCGAAGCATCCTAGACGATGGGATTCCTCTATAGATGTATTGTTACCAAACACAGGGACTAAAATAATAATCATCTCACTTTATGGAATAAAACGCCATCTTTATCCCGATTCCCAAACTGTGGCATACAACAGTACTGAGTACTCTATTACGTGTAGGTGGAAACATACAGACTACAAGCCAGGCTACAAGCTACAGTCCTGTCAGTGAACTTGTCAGTGCCAATAGTCACGGTCGTGATACGGTTCGCTGACCGACTGTTGGAGTACCGCAGACCGTTACTGATACACTACTACTACAGTACTAAAAGTACAAAGCAATCACCGAACTCAACCAAGACCTGCCATTGACTTTGTACACATCTAATACATGGACTATTTGTCACAAACTGATTACTAAAAGAGGCGTCGTTGAACGAGTGCACTACTATCAAAATTGTACTTTATCTCTTAGTTTTCGATACTTGTAATATTTATGATAAGAGAATCATTGGTCTGCAGTAAGTTGTAATACCAGTTTGGCTTGGTTGAACAGTCAGCGTTTACTACAGAAACCAGAAATTAACAACTACACACTCCATGGCTTAAATTATACTATACTACGTCTCTTTTACTCAATAACTGACTACAAAATAAGATGTCTTCTTCTCTCTATAGTTTCTGGTTCACCGTACCAACTCCTTACACGAAATCAGTTATACAAACTCTATTAAAGCAAGTATCCATCCAACTAGCAAAAGATGAATGACCAGTACATTATGATCTCCAGAGAATTATTAATTAGATTTCAATATGAAGGATAAGTCCTAGTAACAAAATCGTAGTATTTATTTCAATCACGGACAAGTATTTCTTAACTCAGAAGAAAATCGCATATTCTGTCGTCCGTGACAAAAGTGTATACAAGTCTTAACTGAACAAACTTCTCCTGCCTTGCCGCAAAACGACTAACGTCATAGCCAAATATAACGCGAATAGTTTCCCGTCTGAGCGACGCCCTTGGAAACACTGTAGGGAACATTCACTGGAGACCAATACTGTACTAGGATGCAATATTGCTTTCTATATCCTCATTACGTCATTTAAATAATGAATTTCAAACGAATGAATCACACAATATTCACACTTATATACTCTTACCGACTACTTATTAACATGCGAATACGAAATTAATATAATTTTGTCAAGGTTAATGTTTTGCCTAAAGTCTGTATCGCTTACCAATACAATAATAGGCCGCATGTACAGGTATCTCGACAACAGTATGCCTATTTTGTAAGGAAACAGTTTTTTTTTTATACTGAAGATTTAACTTTCATTGACTTCACTTCTTGACAGAGGCTTTTAATCTATGATACTATTCACAGCGAAGTACACATTTCAGTAAATGTCTTATTCAAGAACAAAAGCGAACCTACTTAGTTTGAATGATCGCCCAATAATTTTTATCTTTGTTGTATTTTTAGTTCCGTTTTCTTACTTAGGCCTTACTCAAAACTTTTCAATCTTGACAAACTAAATGGCAATTTTAAATATAGTAACAACTGGTTGGTTCGTT